TGCTGGGCTGGGGATGCTGCTTTTCCTGGCAGGAGGATTTCAGGGGGACAGGGCTGGGCTGGGCATCGCAGGGGCTGCAGGTCCCCCCAGGCAGTCGGATCGAGCCAGGGCATCTCACGGGGAACCTGGCACAGGGAGGAAGGGTGGCAGAAAGCCTTGGGGAGGAGAGAGGAAGGGAGTGGAGGAAGAGGAGGTGGGGAGGAAGGACGGAGGGGCTCTGCCCTCCTCACAGCCGCACGAGAGGCGGTGGTCTGGCCCTGCAAGCTGAAAAGCAGGGCAGAGCCCCTCGGACCATCACTCCCCCCAACCTCGGCTGGCTCCTTCCCCAACTCAGGCTCTGTCCCAGTTGCTGGAAGTGGAACGAGACACAATCCTCTCCCTGCTGGGGCCCCGTGTATGCCCAGAGCTAATAAAGCAAATCACTGGTGCTTAATGAAGAAGCACCTGTTTAATTGAACACAGCAGGACGGTGCTGAGCATGGCCAGGCGACAGGAGGGGGGCCAGCAGCTCTCCCTGCCATGGCTCCCTGCAGGTCCCAGTGGAGAGGACGGTGTCTCCATCTGCAGCGGGACTGGATTTCATCTGTGTTGTTTTTCTTTTTTAATTTTATGGAAAAGCAAACTCTCACCCCCTTCAAGCAAGCATCAGGCTGCCCCAACCCTCCACCACTCCATTCCTGTGTGGTGGCTCGGGGCAGGGGACGGGGCTGAAGCAGTTAAAGGGGTGAGCGGGTGGGATGGGAGCTGCGACAGCTCCCTGAAACGATGATGTTTAGATTAGCTGGGTTTCCAGGCATCGAGCTGTCAAAGCAAGAGGGCTGGGAGGGATGCCGGGGCTTGCCCTTAATTGGAGATGTGGCTCTGAAGCTGCCCCATTGCTCTGACGTCCCCTGGGCTCCGGCACACGGCCCCGCAGCAGCTCCCTGCCCTGGGGCTTTCGGCTTGCCCCCATACATGGCTACCCCATCCCGCCCCACCGATCGTTAGCGTGATGGGAATTCGTCACGATTGACATCGCTGTGCTGGCGACTCGGTGACCGCTGAATCGGGGGGGCTGTGGTGCTTAATGGGGTGCAGCCAGGGTGCAGCTCGGGGATGCGAGGGGACCCTGGGGTGGCACAGCGATGCAAAGCTCGTGGTGACCTCCATAGCTCTTCCCTTGGCCAGCATTGTCTCGCCAAGGGGTCCTTTAGGCTAGGGGAAGGGCAGGGTCCTGTCCTCGTGGCAGGGGCTGGAGGTGACCCACTGGGTCCCTTGGGAGCCCCGCTGCGGCTCAGCCCCATCTGAGGCAATGGGCAGGGAGGGGGTGTCCCCCATCGCCACACTGCAGGCAGGCGCTGCCTCCCATCTGCCCGCAGCCACGTTCCTTGGCTCCATTGGAAAGGCTTGAATAACCCTATTAATTTAAGGAGTTAAATTTTAATGGCCTAAATACCGCACTTCATTATCACGGCGGTGTGCCTGCACCAACGGCTGCCTAACGGTGCGGTGATGCTCTGCGGCTGCTGCCTCCCCAGGGATGCTTCTTCCCCTCCTCTGCCACGCCGGGAGCTCCCTGGGGACTTGCTGGGTCCCTGTGGGCAAGGGAACGGGCAAGGGGATGCATGTGTCACCCGTGGAGATACAGGGAGAGTCCCGGGGAGAGGCGTCTCCCTGGGATGATGCTTTAGGGGGGATTAGCTGGTTCCTTCCATCGTCGCATCAAAGTGTGGGCAGGTGGATGGATGGGTGAGCCACAGCCAGCCCTGTTAGTAACTGGGGTTTGAAGTCTTACAGCTGGGGTGTATATATTTATATTTATGGGGTGTATATATTTGTAAGCTATATATATATTTAAGGGGTGTGTATATATATATACATATTTATAGGATGTATATATCTGGGGGAGATACATATTTATGGGGTGTGTATGTCTGGGGTACATATAAGGGGTATGGCTCCCGCTCACTGTCCCCTCTGCCCCGTCCCCTGCCACAGCCGTCCCTCCAGCATCTCGGCTGCTGCCTGCTTAGTCTGAAGCCACCTGTCCCCTGTACAGCCCCATCCCCTGCCTCCTCCCAGCCAGCCTCGCGTTCCCCTCATGCCATTGAAGCCTCCCAGGGGATCGGCTCTGGGGGACCCCCTCCCATCCCACCGGCAGCCGCCCAGCGCTGTCGGTTGGGCTCAGCTGCTGGCTGCTGTCACCGAGGCCAGCAGCTGCGTGGTCAGCCAGTTGTCCCCTCCTTTGGGGACCACTTTTGGGATGTGCTGACCAAGGGGCTTCGGGGGGGAGGGTGTAGTTTGGGGGTCTCTGGTTGCATCAGGGGAGGCTGCTGAGCACTGGCAAACTCATTCTGCTGGTGGTTCCCAGAGAGCCTGGGGGCAGCTGGAGGGGATGGTGCTCAGGTGGGGCAGGATCCACGGGGGGGGTGACACAGCTTCGAAGAGGGGGCCACAGACTCTGCACGGCTGCTCCTTTAACACCCCAATGGTTTCCAGTTTTCCAGTGCCACTGAAAGGAGGGGGAAAAAACCCAACCCTTCCCCGCTAATCTAAACCAGGCCTGAAATTAGAAAGCGGCTCGCGTTCAGCCCCCTGCTCGCTGGGAGCGCGGCATTAGCCAGCCAAATGTCAGAGCTCCTATTTATGGAAAGCAAGAGCCCTCCTTTTCCATTGAGGAGCAGCAGAGGGGGGGACCCAACCAGCATCCTTGCCACGGGTGGACGAGGGCAGCTTCGGAGGTCACTGAATTGCCCTCAGTGCTCGCCGGTGCTGGTTTTGATTTGGCTGAGCTTGTTTGAGCTCTTTTCTTAGCCTTTCTGCCTGGAAGGTGTAAAACACCGGCTCCCCGCCAGCCACGAGCAGAAGAGCTAGTCTCTGGCTGTACCAGCATACCAGGCACTTTGCAATTGGGGGTAAAACTATCCCAGTGTTTGTCCCTGGAGGACCCGTCCTCTCTTTGGGCACAGTAAATCATCCCGCTTCATAGTCCTGAGTGCCCAGCACGGCTGCTGGAAGAAGCTTGGCAAGGATGGGGCATCCAGTTATCCCGTCTTACTGGAGAAGCGTAGGATGGAGCCAGCTCACTCCTGGGCTGGGCTTGGACCTGCCCAGGCTGGGCTTCCTTTGCCACAGCTGGTGATGACTGGATCCTGCCTGCAATGCTGAGCTATTGATTTGCTTTTGGCTCCATCAGGCTGGACTAAAAACCTCTGCCTTCCCCTTCCCTCCCTCGATGCTTCACTTTCCCATCGCTTTCCCTCCTCCAGCCAGCCTGCGTCCAAGCGGGGAAGCGTTTTCATCCCCATGAATGCAGCCAGTTACGTAAGAATAATTGGGATAAATGAGCTTATTTATCACGGCCCATTCCATTTTAACTGGGTCCAGGGTGATTGCTGGGTTGGGTTACGTAAAAGCCCGCACAGAGCATCTCATTGTCTGGCGGCGGCCACGCGGGATGCGGGAACTGCCGATGGAGAGGAGCTGGGGCTGGGCGAAGAGGGGTGGGTTGCTTGGCAGGATGAGGAGGTAGGAGGAAGGTGAGGGGTTTCTTCCTCCATGTGTTGAGGAGGCAAAATCCGTTTCTTCATTCCCCGTCTGCCTCCTGTGTCCCTAACCACCAGGCTTTAGGGTATGGTCTTTGGTATCTTCCTATAGCCATATAGTCTTCCATCAGTCCTTTCCTGCAGGGACAGGGGCTGGAAACTCACCTCCTTCCTCTTCCTCACCCCAGGAAGTGAAAACGTGACTGGGGCGGAGGGGGAGTTTAGGTGTGCCTCCCACCTCCCAGCCAAACTGAGCAACTAGCAAATGCCTCCCACCCAGCCACCAAAGCAGGTCCTGCTTGTTTTGCCTCCTAAACCCTTCTGAGATGCCTCCAGGGGGGGATTCGGTTGCCAGCTGAGATTATCTGGTGGGGAATGGTGCTTGGTAGGAGTTGGGGAAACCAGAGGAGCTCTGGGGGATGGCAGCATCTCCCCCAGTGCTGAGGTTCCCCATCAGCCCGTGGCGGAGATATGGGGACCCGGGGAGCATCCCAGTTTCAGGAGAAGCTGGGTGGGCTCCCCCAGGTCTCCCTGATACAGGCACCGTAGAGCTGAGCTGGTGCTGGGCAGCGTTTCAGGTGGCCTCAGACAAACCGCCCAAGAAGGCAGGAGCCTGGAGAAAAACAGGAAATCCCCAAATCCAAACAAACACAGAAGAAAAAAATCTGGTTTTTGGTCTCTGGTCTAAAATGTTGAAAACCTTGAGAATGCCCGAAGGTTTGTTAAGCAGAACATTCCTGCTGTGACCCGATGGGCCTAGCTAGGCATATCAGAATGGGCCGTGGCGCTGGCTATGCCATGTTTTGGGGAGAGTGCTACCGGTGGGTTGTCCAGTGGAGCAGAGGCATCTTCCAGCTTCACCGGCCAGAGCTCCAATCCTCTTTGGCACCGGATTTCCTGGGAGCTGGAGTGTGGAGGAGTTCAAAGAGCAACGGGGCAGGTTACTGGAGGAAAGGAGGGTTGTAGAGGAAAGGCAGCCTCTGTCTCCAGGACTCCTGACTTGCACAGTGCTGGGAGGGAGTGGTTTGTCCTGGTGGCCTACCAGTTCACTGGTGCTGGGGGATACTGGTCTAACCGAGTCATCACGTGCTATCTGTAACCACACTGCTGCACGCTCCCTGCAGTTGTCAGGGTGGAAAGCAAGGCTGAAACCTCTCGAGGAAAGTCACTGGAAGGCTTGAGGTGGTGAGTGCTGGTGAGGTCCCAGATCAGCACGACTGGGGATGTGTCTTAGCTCAGCTGGTTTTTTTGGCCTTGCCCTGGTGTGAATAGCTGCACCCTCCAAATGCAGGGCCTGGTATTGCCCCACAGCATCTCCCTTCTGGTGTCACCGTACTCACCCAACCTCTGGTGCACCCGTATCTGTCACCCTGGTCCTCTCTGTAGGAAGGGGGTGACGTGCAGGCTCAGGTCAGGGTCTCGGCTGCGCTCATTAACCATCCTTCTGCTCCGGTTTCTCTCCTCTGTGATATGCAGGCAGCTTTGTCTACTTCTGAATGCAGAAAACATCTTCCACTCCATGGCAGACATACTGCTTCGGGAAGAGGACCTCAAGTTCGCCTCTACCATGGTGCACACCTTGAACACCATCCTGCTGACATCCTCCGAGCTTTTCCAGCTGAGGAACCAACTCAAGGACCTGAAGACCCCGGTATGGGCAGCAGGAGCAGGCTCAGCTGCTGGGGGACATAATGGGGGTGGGGAGGACCTGACAGCCACCTGGGGACATGTCTTGCTGCTCGGTCCCCACCTGGCAGGTCCCAGGGCTGGAGCTGGGGCGCCCAGGGCGGCCCCTTTGTTCCTCCACTCTTGAGGAGTTGAGGGGGGCTTGGAGGACATGCCCAACTCTTGCTTTTCTGCCCCGGGATGGGAATTGACTCCCCGAGCCTTTGAGCAGCTGCCATCTCCCACCTTCCACCCGGACACGGGACAGGGGACAGGGGACAGCGAGAGCAGAGCCCCCCGGTCCCTCAGCTGTCCCCGCCTGGAACGTGCCCGTGGGATTTGCCAAGCAGCTGCCACCAGTACCAGCGACATCCAAGCAAGGCGGGGAGAGGGAGGAACGCTTCTTCTCCTCCTCATGCTGAAGGCCAGCAATGCAGTGGTATCCCCTTGGGTGGGACAGCAGCTGTCCTCCAGCCCCTTGTCCTGCAGTGGATGCAGCATCCCTGAGGGCCACCCCATCATGCTGCCACCCCAAAGCCCACCTGGTCTCCATCTCCGAAGGCTGGTGGGCTCATGCCAGTGCCAGGCGGACTTGGTGGGTCCAGAAACGTCCCTTCGTGTCTCGGTGGCACTTGCCAGCCTGACGGGTTGCTGTCGGGGACCGGGGGCTCTCTGTGCCATGTCCTTGGTCCCGCAGGTGACCCGACCCCAATGGCTCACTCTTTCCCCAGGAAAGCCGTAACCTCTTCTGCTGCCTGTACCGGTCCTGGTGTCATAACCCAGTGACAACCGTGTCCCTCTGCTTCCTTACCCAGAACTACAAGCATGCATACGACCTCATCCAGAAATTGTATCCTTTGAGGGTTTTCTGCGAGGCCAATGCCCGGGCTGGTCCCTCTGTGAGCACAAAGGTCACCCTGCGGGCCAGCCCAGCCTCCTGCCCACAGCCCATCATTACCGGGGCGGCGTCCCCACAATGGGAGGGCAGGGTGGCCAGTGCTGGGCGCGCGCCAGCTCCCTTCCCCTTGTGTCGTCCTTATTTTTTGTGGTGTAAAAAGAGGAAAGCATGTGCTGGCTGAGCCCTGACCTTCTCCTGCCCGGGAGGGGAGGCTCCTCAGCATCCTCTTCCTCCCAGGAAGATGAAGGCTTTGGCCTCCTGGCCTGATGAGGAGCGGGCAGCACTTGGCACAGTGTGGTTCCCGGTGAGCTCACCATCTGCCTGCAGCAGAATGATTACTTTCATGTGCCGGCAAACCCCAAGCCTCCCTGAGTAGCTTTCCATACGAGAAAGCTTAATAACGCGCTCCGGTTCCCTTCCTGGTGCGCGCCGGCATTTCTCCTGGGGGATGGGAGTGCTCAGCATCGCTTCCATGCCATCCCCGTGGGCCAGGGGGGTAAAAGCAAGCACCCTCCCTTGCACCATCTTCCTGCCTGCTCTCTAGCTAGGCAAGCTGCTGGCTTTTTGGGCAGCCTGCCTTTTCCCCCATCCCTGCCTGCTTGTCCTGTTTCCTGTCATCATCCCTTGGCCGCCCTGCAGACCTTTCAGCCCTGCCTGCTCACTTCCCGCAGGAGCTGGGGATGCAGGCATAGTTTGGCAGAGCCACGGTCTACTCCAGGCATCACCCGGGCAAGCCGTCTGCTGCTGCTGGGCCACCCTTTTCCAAAGTAACATCCTTAACGGCCACATCCAGCGGGGATCTGGAGGTCACCGTGGATTTCCTCACCGAGGTGGACAAGCTGGTGCAGCTCATCGAGTGCCCCATATTCACATGTAAGGAGAAAACCCTGCGTGGGGAAGGGGCGACGTGCGGTGCTCCCCCACCCCAGGCTGGTCCCCCTCCCCACTCCTTCATTGCAAGCGGCAGCCGCCGCATGAATAAATAGAGCAGAAGTTATGAGACTTCTTGCCGGGAGGTTTGCCCAGCACTGGAGCTGCCCGCTGGGAACGGGTGCGCTGGCAGCACCAGGGACAGCTTGCCCCCCAGATATAGGTTAAGGGAGCGAGCGAAGTTGGCACGAAACAAAGGGATGGGGGAATGATGGGGGGGCAGGGTGCGGGTAGGGTGTCAGATGAGGGGAGCCATGTATGCCGCCCTTGGATGCACGGGGTGGCATCGTGGGTGCTGCTGGGACCCTTAGCAAGAAAAAAGGTGTTTTTTTCTGGAAATGGAGAATTAAGCCCTAAAAAAACAGAGTGGCTACTCTATCCAGATCTGGCCTCCCAGCCCCAGCAGTGTGGGTCCCCCCCAGTTGGGTAACGCAGCCAGGGCCTGGCCAGGGGCTCGGGAACATGGCAGTGGGAGCCAGGCTGGTGGTGGTGGGGCAGAACGTGGCAGGGTGACCTGTGGCTGTGGGGGATTTCTCGGGATGGCATTTGGTTGCCCCTGGGCTCCTTCTCCCTGGAGGTGGAGCTGGGCATTGAGGGTGTTGGGAAATGTCCTGGAAAGGACTTTGAGGGGGGGGACCTATATAGGTCCAGGGCTGGAGAATATCTGGGGGGAAGAGGGTTAGAGCAGCTGGGCAATGGAGATGTGGGCTGTCCCTCAGTCACACTGCCTCCCATGGAACCCTGTGCTTCATCCCGAGGATGACTTTCCCACTGTGTGAGGCAGCCACGTGTCTGTTGTTGTTTTCCACAGCCCCAAATTATTCCTTGAGGGTTCCCCACTGGGCTCGCCTTAATCTCTGAGTCTCGGGGTAGGGGACAGACATGTCCCCCATCGAGCAGCATCCCTGGCCATGGCTCCCTTCACTGGGAGACACCAGAGGTGCTAGTGGCAAGCAGGAGGTGAGATGCTGGGGCAGGGACCTCTTTCCCCATCCCCTGGGCTGCCCCAGGAGGGACCTCAGTTGTCTGTAGGGCTCCAGAAGACCCTTCCAGCCACGAGCACCATGAGGGATGGAGCAGGAGGGTGGTTTCCCCTCTGCTGAGCAACGCCAAGGCCCAACACCATCAGGGCTGAGCAGAGAGGATCCCTTCCGCACCAGAGGGTCCCCAGGATGGTGTCACCCAGCCTTCCTGACATGTAATACCTCAGGGTGGGTATTTCTGCTAATTCTGCAGAAGCTGAGGAGCAATCTCATGTTGCACATGTGTCCTCAGGCAGACAGCATGGATGGACTCAGGGATGAGCAGTAGCAGGGATGGGAGACTGGGGAGCCGCTGTCCCCTTCTCTAGCTGGCAGCTGGGGGCTGTGGCAAGGAGAGGGGCTTCTGGCCTGTGAGGGACACAAAGAAGGATGAGTTAATGGAAGGGGAGAGGCTGCTGGTGCCATGTGGGTGCTGGTGCCAGCCTCCCCAGGACCATCAGAGGGGTTGGGAGGAACCTGCTGGAGGTGAAATGCATTTTACTCGCCTCCCCATCCTCTTGCTCTCCTCTTCCAGACCTTCGCCTGCAGCTGCTGGATGTGAAGAACAACCCCTACCTGATCAAGGCTCTCTATGGCCTGCTGATGCTGCTGCCCCAGAGCAGTGCCTTCCAGCTCCTCTCCCACCGCCTCCAGTGCGTGCCCAACCCTGAGCTCATGCAGACTGCGTAAGTGCTGTGGGGACGGACCCCGACATCATCCTCCCCGGGCCATGGCTGAGCATCCCCGTGATCCCAGACTCAGCCCCATGCTCTGCCTTTCATCCCCCAGCTCCTTTGCGGCCACGGCTGCTCCTTGCCCCGTGGCCGAGAGCGTTGGCTTGGGGGGGGGTGGTTGTGTCTATATTTGGTAACCCTGGGAGGGCTGTGCCTCATCCACAGGCATTTGGCATCCGGGATGGAAAATTTCACTTGTGGGGTCGCTATGGAAACGAGCAGAGCTGGGAAGGAGGTTTATGGAGAAAGACTCCGGCAGCCGGGGGGTGCTCCCAAAGCATCTCCCCTGCAGCCCAGACAGCCTTCACGGCACCCAAAAGGACCCTGACACCCGTGCACGCCTGGGGCTAGCTGCTGCATCCCTACCCCTGGCCTTCGGGGAGCCATGAGCAGTGATGTCCAAGGGCAGCATCTCCCTGGGGACCAGCCGAAATCCTCGTGCTCCCAGCCCAGGGGTACCGCTCATTAAAACACCGGTGGTGGGATTTGCTCTCCAGCCCTCAGCTAATGAGCTGGGGCGGGCGTTGATGATAAAGCTGGGTCTGCCTCTGCAAAGCCCTGGGAACAAAAAGAAGAGCTCCCAAGATGGGCAGGTTTCTGAATTAACCCCCCACTGCCACCACTCCTTGGCTTTTAACTGCTCCCCTGGGCTGGCTTTTATCCCTCCTGGCCTCCGGCGCTGAGCTCGTATCCACAACCCGGCACTGATTTTAATTGGGGGGGTGGAGGCGGGGGCTGCACGTGCTTCTCCCCTCCTTTTTTCCCCCCTTCTAACCCCGGCAGCGGGTTTTTTTCAAGCAACCGGAGCTGTCAGACGGCCTGAGCATCTGATTAACTCTGACCTACATTCCTTCAAACACCGAAGCTGGCTTTCATAACAGGCCAGCCCCAGCTGCCCCCTCCCTGGGGGGACGCCGGGGCCTTGAGAGCCGCCTGCTATCCTTCTGTGGGCTCCCCCCTGTCACCCGATGGACATCCCATGGCTGGTGTGTCCCCTCCACCTTACATGGGGACAGCTCTGGGGGATGAAAACTAAAAGCCCCATTTGTGGGCTCCCCAGGGCTCCACCTGTGGGTGCTCATCCGCTGGAGCTGTCCCCACCGCCACCAGCCCTCCTCTGTGCCATAGCACATGGATATTTTTTGCTTGCTCGTAAAACCAGGCAGGGAAACCAAGGCACATGGTGCTGGCATCCTTTCTGGCCAGTCTTGCTGCTTTTGGCTGGAATGGCTTGGGACGGGGGGGAGTATCCATGCTGCAGGGATTAAACCGCCCCTCCGGGGGCCAGGGTGCTGAGGAAAATGTCCCTTGTCCCTTCTCTCTTGTCCCAGGACTTCTTGGGCTCCATCTCATGCCTCTGGGGGAGGGAAATGGGTCTTTGGGGGTGTTTCATGGGGCACCAGCATCACTAGGATGTGCTGGGCTCAGCTTCTTCAGGACAAGCACTTGGTGCTGCCTGTGATGGATGCCCTGGGTACAGCCATCTCCTGCCCCTTCCTGCCCTCACTCTCTGCTCCCTCCCTGCAGGGACAGCACCAAACCGAGCGCCAGCTTCAAGAGGGCATCAGCCTCCAACATCGACTACACGGAACTGCTGCAACACTTTGAGAAGGTCCAAAACAAGCACCTGGAAGCACGACACCAGCGAGCCGGGCGGGCAGAGCAGCTGGACCGGCGGGTGGTCCTCTGAGCATCCCCGTGGCAGCCACGGGTGCGCACGGTTGCTGGGGCAGGGACCAGGGGACGGGGACACCGGTTGCTGGCCGCCGGCAGATCTGGTGGGTTTAATGGCAGAGGGAGATGGGCGAGCGCTCGGCGCAGGGCTGGTTTTTCTCCCCGCTGTGCTTGTGGATGGTGGGGGACCCCCAGGCTGTGCCAGCTTCTCCCATGGGCGATGTGGGGACGTGGGGAAGGGTTGCAGGAGGAGAGGGCCAGGGGAAAGCACCTTGTCTTCTCTTGCAATAGGGCAAGGAAACTCCCCTTTGCTTTGCTAATGCCTTCCCCGTGACTGTCAGCTGAGCGCCCAGCCTCCTGCCAGCAAGACCGGAGGGGAAGGGAAGACGGGAGCAACCCCTGGCCTCCCGCCCTGGAAAACAAGCACGCGGGGCCGCTGGCCGCCTCCCGCCACCCCGACTTCCACCCTCTGGCTCCAAGGCTATGCTGGAGGTTGCCTGCAGCATCTCACCCAGGGACTCACACTCTTGTGCGTGGCACTCAGCCCCCTCCCCGCATCCACACCCCCCCCCCGAGCCCCCAGCTCTTGGCATGGATGGCAGCACAGCCTTAACTCCCAGCCGGCACAGGGGGGCACGGGGGGCAGCGGAGACCCCCATCACATCCAGCCCCGGACTCAATTCTTTGTTCCTAACTTAAGCTCCCCACGATAAAATAAACGAGCGATGCAGAGCAGCCCATTCCTCGTAGCTGGGCTCCCCATCATGGATCCAGTCCCAAGGGGGGGCCAAAAAAAGGGCAAGAGCAGGGGTTGGCATGGAGCATCTTGCTCGACCCTGAGACCTGGGCTGGCCCAGCCCTGCCACGTTGGCTTGCCAGTGAGCAGGGCTTCTCCTGCTGCTCCTCTTCCCAGCAGGAAAAAAAACCACCGCCGAAATTCTTCCAGGCCATGGTCACGAAACCACAGTGCGGTGACAGGCATTTTCCTGGCCCTGAGCAGCCATCAGCACTGCCTTCGCCCCGTCTCACAGCACTGAGGGACCATCACCGCCAGCACGTGCCGGGCTGCTGCAGTTGGGGGGGGGGGGGCACCGTTGCATCCCTGACGTGTTTCAGGCCCTCACCTGATGCTGGGGAAAGGGGGGTTGGAGGAATTTGTGGAGTTTTTATGGCTCTTGGCCTGTTTACAGCGGAGCCGGGCTCTGGCTGTGGGTTCCCTGAACAGCCCCGCACCGATGCTGCTTTGGCCGGGATAAAGACATTCCTGTCATTCCCAGGAAAGGGCTTTCCAAACCCAGTCACGGTGGGTTAATTTTAACAGCCAACCCTTCAGGATGGGCGAACCATGGCTTCCCAAGCCTGCCGACCGCTCAGGGTGCCAGGGGCGTCTCTGCTGCCTGTCCCCAACCACTGCCGGGTTATTGCCGGCATGTGCTGGGGCTGCTGCTGGCCCCGGAGCTCTGCCCATGGCTCCTGCCGGGCTCCCCGCCGCTGAGTGGCCTCTTTCCACACCGAGGGACAGGGTTTATAGGGAGAAATTCCAGCCGGTTGCCGGAGCGCCGAGCCGTAATCATTTCCTTATGGGTGGCTCTTGACCAGCGCCGGCCAGAGCAGAGCAGTGCCGCTGGGGCATCACCGGCGGGGGATCAGGGCTGCTTTTCTGGCAGGAGGGGGAATAGGCGGCTCAGGCTGAGCCCTGAGCCCCAGCTGAGCATCATTTCACCATGAGGTGCAGCGAGGTCTGTCGGGACTCAGCCCAGCACCCTCAGATCCTGGGAGGCTGGGGATGGGGCCTCGGGATAGCTACTGAGAAGGGCTTGTCTGCTGGCAGGCCGCACATTTCCCACGGCTCTCTGGTAATCGAGTGCCTTAAGATGTTTCAGAGCTGCTGTATAATCGCCCCAGAGGGTGTTAAACTTCAGCCTGCATCAAGGTGCTTGCCCGCAGCACACGTAGGCATGCGCCTTCCCCAGGTAAGGAAGGCAGTGGGGGTCAAACAGCCCTTGGCGAGGCTAAAGGGAGCCCTGGCCTGGAGGCAGCATCCCCCACATGCATCTCCAGGGATCTGGGGCTGCCCCCGAGCATCCCGTAGCGGTCCCGATGCTTACCCCAGGCCCAGCATCCCCGAGCGCAACCCGAGGCTCTCCCGATCCCCACCCAACACCCCAAGAGCATCTCCTGCCCTGTGAGCAAACCCGGGGGCCGCACCCCAGTCCCAGCATTCCCGACCATCCCTCGGGGCTCCCTTCCCTGCAGCCCTGGGGCTCCCGGAGCTGCTCCCCCCCCCCCCCTGCAGCAGCTCCCAGCGCATCCCCGAGCGCCACCGGGCCTGGCCCCGGGTGCCCGCTGCCGCCCCCCGAGCATCCCTCGGGCTTCCCCCT